TTCCTCTCAGCTCTTGAATGGAACAAGACCCACGCGATTATTGCAAACTTCCTTCTTAACCTCTGTCTAATTGGTCAGAAATCATTAGGAACGAAGAGATGACCATAAAGGATTCTATTGGTTCAAACATAGCAACCAAAAGAGTGCCAATTGGCACTCTTGGGATCTTGGTGCAAAATTTCCAGAGTGTCAATTGGCACCCTTGGGGGGTAAGGATTAACCATATGACAGTTGTTGTGGCGGTGTTTACCGTCACAGTATATGTAACGATATCATGAGCAGACAATCTCTGTTGATTTGGTCATTAACTTTTATTCAATGCTCGCCAAGGTCTCTAGTGTCGAACTGCGAGTCCCTTGTCTGAAATCATACACATGATCACGTGTTAAGGAGAATCTTGTTACATCTTTACCCTTATAAAAACAAAACAGAACAACGAAAAAATGCTACTAAGTGTCCACAATGGACTGTCACTAGATATCTAAAGTCCTATGGCCACTGATGGTTAAGTTCACTGTAGTGGACCAACTTAGTTTCGAAAGACTGCAGAGTCATTGTGCCAGGCAGGTGCCCAGCGGGTACGATTCGACCTGTGGAGACCATTGTTGCCGTCAGTGGCAGGAGTCTTGCTGCTTGGAGGGTTTGGCTTGGCTGTCCTCAAGAGGTGCTGGCACAGTCTCATTAGCTTCTGGAATGTCAGGCTCGGGAATTGGTAGTTCATTTGTTCTCTGTGTGTGTCTGGGGTTGTGCCTGTACTCTGTGTCGCCCACCTTTACTACATAGATCCTGTTGGCAACCTTTCCTGTACAGATTCTTGGACTCAGTCTCCTGACCTGGGAGTTTTATGGGTACCATCTCTCCAGGCGTGATGGCCTTCAGTGGCGTGGCAGCTCTGTCGTAATAGTGTTGCAGGCAATGCTTTGCCCCTGCTACTGCACGAATATCACCTCCAGTGTCATAACAGGGCTTCAGGAGGCTTTCTACCAGTGGCAACAGGGTTCTGCATCGGCACCCCAGGAGATGTTGTGCTGGGCTCGTTCCGATTCCTTTTGAAGGCGTGTTGCGCCAGTCAAGGAGAGCCAAAAACTCAGACTGACCAGACTCCTTACATTTCCTTAAGAGTCACTTTACGGTTTTAATGGCATTTTCGGCCTTGCCGTTGGATTGTGGGTACTTCAGCGATGATGTCACATGATCAAAACCTTATGTGTGAAAAGACTGAAAACTCAGTTGTGGAGAACTGAGGACCATTGTCAGTCACACTGACATCTGGTATGCCGAACCGCATGAAGACTGCTTTGAGCTCCTTTGTGATGGACTGTGAGGCTGTTGATGTGACGCGTGCTTCCTCTATGTAATTGCTGTAATAGTTATATGACTAGCAGGGTACGCCTGTCTAGGTCACAAAGGTCCACAGCTACTTTGGACCAGGGTCCTGCTGCAAAGTTGTGTTGCTGAATTGGCTCCTTGCTCTGCTAACTGCGTTGCGCCATGCAGGTATTGCACTTTGCGGTGTATTCTTTTGGCTTCGTTGACATCCATGCCCAATAGAGGCTATTGTATGTTCATGAGATGGAAGCCTCAACTCCAATATGGGATGCATGTGTCACTGCGAGGAGCTCCTTTTGAAGTGAAGCTGGCACAGCCAGTTGTTGCCCTTTAATTATCAGTGTACCTTGCATGGTGAGCTCGTCGCATATGTCAAAATATTCATGCAGGCACTGGGAAACATTACCTCTGGCTAGAGGCCAACTGTGCTGTATAGTCAGTTGCAGTTCTTGCAAGACAGGATCATCTGCTGATGCACTCTTAATTTGACGCCATCAGGTGCCACTGACAGGAAGTAAGGTCTTGTAATCAATCCTCTCCAGCTCATGGACAAATTCAGACACCTCGGTTGTTGGGAAAGCTGTGTTAAATGTGTCAGTGAGGAACATCTCCTTGCCTCTCTTATATCTTATCTCAAGGTTGTATTTTTGAAGACAAAGCAGCATACGCTGAAGACGTTGCGGTGCTGAGTTAAGAGCATGCCCGCGAAGAGGATAGCCAATAGCTCTTTCTCGATTTGAGTGTAATGGGTCTCTGCTGATGTTAGAGCCCTGGATGCGTAGGCCACAGGCTGCCCTTTCTTCAAAATGGCAGCTCCTAGACCCGACTGTGATGCATCACATTGAAGGGCCACTTTGTCACTGAGGTTGTAGTAAAAGAGGATTGCAGTGTGAGTGACTGCTTCCTTCAGTTGGTTCAACATAGTGTTCTGTGCGTCATCCCAACACCGCTCGGTATACTGCTGAGTCAGCTCTCGTAATGGCTTTGTCATGTCCGATAGGTTGGGGAGAAATTTACTTAGATACTGTGCCAGGCCCAGGAGCCTCTGCACTCCAGCCTTGTCTGTGGGGTCTGGCATATGTCAAATGGCTTTGACCTTGGCAGGGTCCACTTGTAAACCATCACCTGTTGGCACATGGCCGATGAACGACACCTGCATCTGTCTCAGTTTTAGCCTTTCGGTGTTGAGCTTTAGCCCATGATCCTGGCACATAAGTGTCTTGTCGTGGTCTTGTGTCGCTTGTTCCATGGTCTTTCCGTAACTAACAACAACAATTGTGCCATTCTCTTGTCAAGTTGCAAGATGTTTCTGAATAAGTTTGAACTGCGATGAATTCCTCGTAACAGTCTGTGAACTGTTACTCGTTGTGACCATGGTACCTTTCTGTTCCTCCATGATAAATGGTTTTGGATTGTATTGAGTGCCGAGCTTGTTCAGTTTGGGTTGTCTAATGAGTACAACTTCTCCTGGCTTAATCTCTCATTCTTGAGCATGCGCTTTGAGGTCAGCATAGACCTTCATTTTCTGCTTTTGCAGAGCATCTCTCTGGGCGATGCTAGCTGATGGATCTTGAAGTGTGCATCGTGGCAGCTTGTGTTGGGTGATTGGTAACTCTGGGATTGTGGTCTTGAGTTTTCTGCTGTTTAGGGCTTCACTTGGGGACACATTGATGGTGGAGTGAGGTCTTGCGCGATATTGCCGTAAGAACTTGTACAACTCTTGCTTCCAATTTTTGCCTTCTAGGTGAGCAATTCTGAATTTTGAAGGGTCTGAACCAGTCGTTCTGCTTCTCCATTTGCTCTTGGCCAATACGGGGTGATCCTTCTATGCTTGAATCCTAAGTAGTCAGAAAAGTTCTTAAATTCATGACCATTAAACGGTGGACCATTGTCACTTTTCAGGACATCAGGAATACCTTGTCTTAGAATATCGCATCAAATTTAGGGATCACAACTTTTGCTGATGTTGAGGTAAGAATTTCTACTTCCGGAAAATGGCTGAATTCATCTGTTACTACCATGATGTAATCACCAGAGAGGAACGGTCCAGCAAAATCCACTGCAACTTCTCTCCAAGGTCCGCTAGGGAGTGACGTCATTCGAAGGGGTTCAAACGGTGGTGACTTGGTCGATGCAGCTTGACATGAAAGACAGTTTTTGACCTTCTCTTCTGTTAGTTTGTCAATTGCGGGGAACCACACTTTGTGTGGGGTGAGTTGCTTTGTGTTCACAATCCCTGGTGACCACCATGTGCCAAGTCTACTGCTTTACTTCTGAGGGTAAATGGTATCACAATTCTGTTTCTTAATACTAGTCAATTGAACACTGATAATTCTTCCTTGAGCTTCTTGTATTTCTGGACGTCTGGGACATTCCATCGGCCAGTTTCCACAGCCATGATGACAGCTTGCATTTCTGCATCATTTCTGGTTTCTTGTTTTATTTCTTTGAGTGTCATTGCTCTTGGTACAGCATTAGAGCATACATAGTTGGCATAATCTTCAGCCAAATTTTGTTCTTCTGGTGCTATGGGACACAGATGTCGGCTCATGTAATCAGCAGGGTTTTCGGCATCTCTTCCAGGCTGATAGATTAGCTGACAGTCGTAGGGCATGAGTTGAAGTTTCCACCTCTCCATTCTTGGGGAGGTCTGCTTGTGGTTCTTGAAGATGTCAATGAGAGGTTTATGACCAGTAATAACAGAAAACTGTGCACTATAAACATACAGATGAAAATGTTCCACTCCCCATACTACGGCAAGCATCTCTCTCTTTGGGAGTAGCGACTTTCCACGTCACTCAAAGCACAACTCGCATAACCAAGAATTTTGCCTTCTCGTACTAACAGTCCATCAAGACCAGTTGGACTCGCATCGACAATGATTTCGATCTTCTTTCTTGGATCAAAGTAAGACAGCTTGATCCCCAACGAGGGCTTCTTTCAGCCTGTCCAATGCCTTTTGTTCTTCTTGCTCCCATTTCCAAGGGGTGTCCTGTCGGATCAGCAGGCACAAAGGGGTCGCGATTGTGGCATAGTCTGGTATGAAACGGGACACGTACTGTGTCATACCAAGAAAAGACTTCAGTTCACTATGGTTGTGAGGAGGTTGTGCCTCTTTGACTGCTTTAACTTTCTTTGGATCAGGTCTACCACCGTCAGAGCTAAAAATGTGACCATAGAACTTGATTTCAGTTTCGGAAAACGTACACTTGTCTTTGTTAAGACGAGTGTTGTTTTCTTTAAGCCTCTGTAGAACACCACAGAGATTCTTGTTGTGCTCTTTCTGGTCTTTTCCAAATACTATGATGTCATCTGAGATGTTTTTACATCCTTGAAGGCCAGGATGGAGTTCCCTGATTGTTTCGTGAAAAATTTCTGATGCTGCATTAATTCCAAAAAGCAGAAGTTTGTATCTTCTTAGGCCAGCATGTGTACTGAAGCTTGTGACATGACGGCTTTCAGGTGATATCTCAAGCTGGTGATACCCTGAGGACAGATCTATTGTAATGAAAAGCGTTGCACCATTCAAATCAGCAATGAGGTCATCAATGGTTGGCATGAGATGCTTTTCCCGCTTAATTGCTTGGTTTGCCTTATGCATATCAACACAGATTCGAACTTCTCCAGATTTCTTGGGGACGACAATTGGACTGATCCAGGGTATGGGCCCTTCAACTTTCTCGATGATGTCTCTCAAGCTCTTTTTCGACATCGTCTCTAACATGAAATGGAATTCGTCTGTAGGGTTGCTGTTGGGGTGTAACATTGGGGTCTATATGTAACTTCACTTGTTTGTTTGGTACTTTCCCTATGCCTCCAAAGATTGATTTGAACTCTTCTTTTAGAGACTCCGGGTCGTCTTTGTTTCTTTCAGTGACGGTGGCAGTATTAATAGAAACCGCAATCAGACCTAGTTTCTTCGCAATGTGATAGCTGAGATTTCGGTTTTCTCCTTTAACAACAATCAGCTGGGCAGAGGTGCTCGCATTGCTGGATTTCATTGTTGCAGTGAGAATTCCCAGGGTTGGAAGAGGGACTTTAGGTCCATATGAATAAATCTTGGTGTGAACAGATTGCAGGCTTTCACTGCCGTGGCTGTTAATTCTTTGAAAGGTTGTTTCATCTAGAAGATTAACAGATGCATCCAAGTCGATCATCATATTCACGTTCCTTCCATTGATTTGTAGCTGACATATGGGTGGCTTCTTGTTTTCGCGATGGTCGACAGTGTAAACGTACTCATATTCTTCATCAGATGTTTGACCACTTTCCACAGAGGCCATGGTGCGAGGTTTTGAACAACAAACATGAGCAAAATGGCCAATTTTCGCACAGACGTTACAGATTTTTTCTTGCACAAGACTTCGATTTTTGTGGGGTGCGTACCCGCCACAGTTGCCACATTTTCTAAGAGAGTTGCCTTGCTTATATCCAAAACGACAATTGTGTGACTGTGTGTCACGTCGGTCATGCGGGCGGCTTTTCCGATTCTCTTCTTTTCGTTTTATTTTGTTGACGGCTTCGAATTCGTCTCCGGTATCTTCTACGTCTTTCGCCTGTTTTTCATTAAATTCTAATGCTCTTCCTAGCTTCAATAAAACTTCCAACGCTGGGTTTTCACGTAGCGCTCGGGGTCTAAGTGAGCTGGAACTGCCCGTCAAAATAATATGTCCTTTGATTTCTTTGTTAACATCGCTGAATTCGCAGGTTTTCGCGAGTTGACGAAGCCTGGTGTGACAACTATCGAGGGATTCACGCTATTTCTGCTTCGCCTGGCGAAAATTATATACTTCATATGTGGTGTTGACTTGTGGGGAGAAATACTCGTTAAGTTTCGTGACCGCCGTGTCATAGTCACCGTCTTCTCCAGTGTTTGGCAAGGTGTCGAATATTTGGTCTACGTCGGGGCTGGCATAATGCAGCAACAAAGTCCGTTTCCTTTTGGCAGCTGTGATGTTCATTCTGATGAGCATTCATTCTAAGTGTCGTAGCGATCTTTTCCATTGTGGACCTGCACTGCTGTCGGCATGGACGTCGAACGGTGGAAAACTTGGTAGCGAAACCGCTGTTGTGAATCTCGAGGGTGGGATTCGTGAATTTTTACATCCTCGTCGCCAGATGTAGTATGGAGATTATTAGTCTCGAACAGTGCTAAAGTAAAATGAACCGCAACGCTCTGCTTGTAGTAAAAACCTTACTTTTTAATAAAACACTCTCTCTGCAATCATGTGATCCAACATGATTGATTTACGACATTACAGTTACGAGGGCGTGCGTGGAACGAAATTAAAGTTCGCATGCTGCTATATTGCGTCAGTAACACTCCCACCAAATTTTGATGAATTTTTTTTTGGGAGAGATAAGAAATAAATAATTTTAATTAAAAGTCAAATTTAAACACGCCTTGGAACACTCAGTCTTCTCTTTCCATGGGTAAAACAACCTTTTGTACTGGTCTTTTAATGACAGGACCTTTAGCATCGTTTTCTTTCTTCCGAAGATCTCTGGATGCTAACTTGATCTTCACTGAACGAACGAGACCTTGTTCATCAGCTGAAGTCTCCACAATCCTGCCAAGGGGCCACTTGTTCTGCTAGAAATTGAACTTGTCGCCAACGTTTTCGGGCGTAAACTTCCTCTTTAACAAATTTTCCAGGTGGTGGTAGGAGTGTCTTACTCTTCATGGTAAGCAGATGGTTTGGAGTTAGTGGCTCTAAACTGGGTGGGTCGTTAAGACACTGGCAGGTCAATGGTCGAGTGTTCATTATAGCCATTGTTGCAGACAAGAATGTGCGAAGAGAGGAAGTATTGAGTCTTCCCTTGTGTTCGTTGAGAATGCCTAGGATGCTTTTAGTGGTCTTGATCTGTCGTTCCCATACACCTCCCCAATGACTGGAGTGAGGGATATCCATGATAAATTCGCAGTGATTCGTCGTCAAGTACGATTCAATTCTGTTGTTGTCCAACTCTTTCGTTGCATTGGCAAGTTCGTTCCTTGCGCCTACAAAGTTCGAACTGTGATCGGATCTTAGCTGTTGGACAGGTCCTCGGATCGCGGTGAAGCATCTTAGAGCGTTGATGAATTTGTCGGTTGTCATATCATCCAACTGTTCAATGTGTACTGCTCGAGAACTCATGGAAGTAAATATCACTGCGCATCTCTTCAATTCTTTACTTTCTTCTTTGTTAAGAAACGGCCCAAAACAATCCATTCCACGGTATGTAAAGGGCGGGGCTGACTCCACTCTATCTTTGGGAAGACTTGCCATCTTCTGGCCTTCTGTTGGTCGCCTTTGACGTCGACATGGTACACATTTGTAAATGCGTGAGGCTACTGTGGTGCTAAGACCAAGAATCCATAATCCATTGGAACGAATTTCATTCATTGTCATTCCTTTTCCTTGATGCTGAACCTTCTTGTGAAAGTGATTGATAATAATTTCAGTTACTTGCGAACGCCTTGGTAGGATTATCGAGTGTTTGGCATTAAACGGTAGTGTGGAATTTTCCAGCCTCCCACCAACTCTTAGCAGGCCTTGTTTATCAATAAGGGGATCCTGCTTTAAGAGTTAACTTTGCTTTGGAAGCTTGGCGTTCTTTTCCTTGTGTCGTAGACTTCTAATTTCGTTCTTAAATGCTGTGCGTTGTAGCTCCTTGAAAATAAGCATTTCAGCTTCTTGTCTTTCAGCTACTGTTGTAGTGACTGTTTTTGGCTTGTCCTTTTTGAAAATTCTCTTCAGATATGACACCACTGCAACTGCCTTTGTCCAGTCGGAAAATCTTGATGCACAGTCAATGAGGCTGACAGACTCTTTGACCATAGTTGTACGTACAGTGGCCTTAACTTCTGGATCTCCAATCTGTATGTGAGGAATATCTACTTCGCCAGAAGGGAACTCCTTTTTCCACAGAAATGCAGGTCCACTAAACCAGTTGGATTTCATTAGTTCTTCAGCGTTTAAGCCTCGGGAAGCGTGATCTGCTGGATTTTTCTTGGTGTCAATGTATTGCCGTTCTTTGATGGTAGAGATCTGATCATCTGTACCCTGTTGGTGACAAACGTGTGGAATCTTTTGGCTTCGTTCTTTATATAACCAAGAACAACCTTGGAGTCTGTCCAAAAGTACTGCTTTTAGACTGGTGTACTTTAATTCTTCTTGAAGCATCACTCCCACCTTCGCTGAAACGACAGCAGCGTTAAGTTGGAGTCGTGGTATGGTTGTTATCTTCGATGGAGCGACACGGGACTTTCCCATCACCAATGAGACATTAATGTTGTCATTTTTATCCTTCACTCTTGGATGAGAACATTGTCCGTAACCAAACGTGCTTGCATGAGAAAAATTGTGTAGTTCATAGGTCTTCACCTTACCTATCGTTTTCGGTTGAAAACATCTTGGAATTTTTAACTCCTTGAGACGTAGAAGATCGAGTTTCCAATGGTCTCACCTTGGCCGAACTTCTTCAGGCAGAGGCTCTTCCCAGCCAACGTCCCTTTTACATACTTCTTGTGATATCTTCTTTGCTCTAAGGACCAAGGGAGCCAAAAATCCAAGGGGATCATGGACAGAAGCTACTGTCACTAAGACTCCTCTTCTAGTTAAGGGCTGATCCTTCAGGACAATTGAGAAAGCAAAGTAGTGTAAGCCAAGCGACCATTGGACTCCGAGAACTCTCTCTATTGGAAGTTGCTCGGATGGAAGATCCAGGATACCATCACCTGCTCTTTCGCTATTCGGTACTGTTTTGAGTATTTGCAGATCATTGGACACAAACTTGTGAAGACGACGACCACCCTTCTTGCATATTTCGCTAGCACCTTAGATGAGTTTTACTGCTTGGTTTTCAGATTCTACGCTGGCCAAGCCGTCATCAATGTAAAAATCGTGTTAAATGAACTGAGCTGCAAGCGGGTAAGCTTCTTTCTCTTGACTCGCCATATGTTTGAAATCGTAGCTGGCACAACCAGGCGACGACGTTGTCCCGAACAAGTGAACTTTCATTTTGAACTTCTTAGGTTCTTGCTTGACATCGCCATTAGGCCACCAAAGAAATCACAAATAGTCTCGGTCGTCTTCATGCACAATGAACTGGTGAAACATCTTCTGAACGTCGCATGTTATAGCGTATGGATATCTTCTGAACTTGGACAACACGCCTGTCAAATTGTTAGTGAGATCAGGTCCTCTAAGTAGATGATTGTTCAAAGAAATTCCTTTGAATCTTGCTGAGCAATTGAATACGACTTTAATCTTGTTTTTCTTTGGGTGATAGACACTATGATGAGGTATGTACCACTTTACTCGTTCTTGCGCAACTGCTGGCGCTTCTTCGGCATTTCCTCTTCCTAATACTTCGTTCATGACCTTGATGTAGTCTTCTTTGTACTTCGAATCTTTCAGAAATCTTCACTTGAGGTGTTCGAGGCAAGACAGTGCCATATTGTGATTGTCAGGGATGCGGCGGTCATTTCCGGCCGTTTACCCACGGGTAATGTGTTGATTTTGCCTTAAACACGCGCCACTGCAGGTAATCGGGAGGTGCGGGTTATGTGACAATTTTGAAATCTACTTGCAGTTGAATTGAAGAAAATTCTCACCTATCTGCGTTTCTGCCTCTCAGATGAATTTTATTGTATTAAGAGTGCCACAAAGGGGCACTAAAACATGATGCCAACTCGAGTTTATTTCACGCACAATTAGTTGCGTGATGAACAAATTACTATCAGCACGCGTGTAAACAAAACCTTGATGGTGACAAAAATAAACTGAGGATAACCGGCGCATCAGTAACAAATTTCCAGTTAACACTAGCTTCAGCTGAAGAGAATTTTCCCGTTTTAAGGGACTTCTTAGGCCTAGTAGAACCAGAGATATCGATGTTTTTATGAAATCAACATGGCGCCGAACGATCGTTCGCTAAAAATGTGGCCACGAATTCGCATTCTATCAAGTGTGCAACGTTGTGAATTCTAGAATACATTGGTACAAATTTCTTTTGTTTTTAAGGTGCGGGTTATCCACCAGTGCGGGTAATCTGTTGAATTTTTTTGTCGCTGCGTGCAATAATCGGCTGGTGCGGGTAATCGGCCGTGCGGGTAAACAGCCGGAAATTACGGTAATAGAGGTCTTTCCTTGAATGGCAGGGGCATTTCATAGTGTCCGTCTTCAGTTCTATCGATTCCTTCTTTCAATATCTTGAGAAATTGTGAATCTTCTTGAGACATCTTCTTATCATCCTTGTTTTCCTTAAAGTCCGATTCGAGGATTTGTACAATGTCATTCATTGTGTTATTGCGGGGAAGAGACGAGCACACATGAACTGAACTCAACCTTTTAATGTCTCTGTTCTCGTGGTTCCTCTCTACATACCATAATACTATCGACTAGTGTCCAACTTCCTAACACCTTCCCCTCAGTAAATGAAAAATTTTACGTTAACAGTCTATGAAGAGTACCTCGCTGGTATTTTAACTAAACGTCCTGAACGTGTCCGTTTTGCAACAACTAGTTCCATCTTCTTGACTTAACAGGCTTAGTGGGCTCAGATTTAAGTTTTATAGAACTAGATACAGGATTTGAACTAGAATTTTTGGTTTCCGAGGCACGGACTTTGGCCTTCGCTTTTGGATTTGGGGCAGATTCTGTCTTTTCCGTTTTCGGCGGTTTTCCTGCGGGCTTTAGTGTATGCGGTTTCTTCTAAGAAGTTGGCCATCCACTTCAACATCGTATGAATGGAATGGGTTGTTCTGAACTATAAGGCCTTTTCTCCATTTTTTTCCTTTGGTTAATCCTTCAGGCTTGATGTTTACTGTATCACCAGGTTTTAAAACACTCAGATCTTTAGCAGTTCGATTGTAATACATTTGAGACTTGGCTGTTTTCTTAGCTTTTTCTTCCAGGACCGTTTCAGTAATTTCTGGTTTAAAGGATCCCTTCCAACCACAATACCCTGCGCGCCTCTATTATTGTTTTGATGCCAGCAGCGTGACTCGCAAACGGCGTGACGTGACGAAAGGTCAAGAGATCGACGTCAATTGCGCCAAAAATGGAAGAAACAGACCACGAGACAAGCAGGAATATCGATGTTGAAGGTCCATCGACACCCGTAAATGTGTACGGTTCGCCTGTGGCACCACGCGGCCGAGGAAACGAGGAATCCATCGTATCAACATCTCACGTTGTCCCTTTGCCTTTGGCGATCGTGAATCGAGTGGTAAGCTCAATACTACATTTTCTGCGTGATAGTACAAGACCAGAAATCCTTTCTTGAAATTCATCGATTTACAATAGCAAGTATTTTCTCCTGTCCCAGACCTGTTCCTGTAAGAAGAGGGTCTGGATGGGGGTATCTCGAAAACACTAAACACTAAAATTTTACCTTCTATAACATCAAACATTAAAATTTTGGGCTGTTTAACATCTAACACTAAAAAATTCTCTGAAACACTAAAATTGATACAAATGTAACGAGAAACGGCTAAAAAATGCGCCAGATACTGATAACGATAAACGCGGGCATTCAATATGGAATCAGCTACAATTGATTTACATACTGTGTCATTTTGATTGCAATTTTGTGTTGTTCATTGTTTATGTCTCTATCATGGAAAATCATTGGAGACTATTTCTCTGCAGAAGGGTACATTATGCTTAACAATTAAAATTTTCCTCTGTCGTTATCACACTTTCGCAAACTTTCATTTGAACAATTTGTTTATTTAATCATCATCATGCTCCTTTTACCTACCGGGAAAAGGCTGTTGCATCCTCACTAGCCATCCTCTTGTTTCTTAGCACATGTATTAGCAGCAAGCAAGCCTTGAATCTAAACTCCCCCTTTCCTTCTTTACGGTTTGTCTCCAAGTCTCTTTAGGTCTACCTCTTCATCGTTTGCTTTCCAGGGTCCAAGGTGGCGCTATTTACGGGTTGTTATGCAATTAACTCTTGATCAGAGATTCATCACAAGGTAATGTATATGCGCAGACCCGATAGTGCAAACTCTACAAGTCAAGGCGAAAATGAGCGCGAATGGCGCGCCCGGACCTGGTGAGTGTTGTTGTGTGGGGGTAGGAGTCGTGATCGTCATCATCCACATCGGTGCCTGAGTCGCTGTCGTATTCATCCTCTTGATCTGGCACTTGAAGAACAGCAACTATTTCAATAGTGCTATCGTCCACAAACGTGATACTGGGTGCGTGCGAGTCCCCATCGTCATCTATGATATGCGGAGTAATTTGTTCCATTACTTCTCCTTCAACAGTTGGGTCGTTGTGGAACATTACTTTGGTATGAGGAGGTTGAGTGTAATACACTGCTGGTGGGAGAGCTCCGGCTTTGTCTTTTGTGGTTTCACTGCGCACTGTTCTCTGCCTCACGGGACGAAA